TACCAGCCTGTTTTTCATCACTGATAGTTTGTTAATATGGTTAGATGATTTCTGAATGTTTAACCAAACTTGCATTCCTAGAACAAACCCCACTCAAATATAATATTACTATCGTTATTTGACTGAATGTTTGTACCTTTTGACCTCCACATATTTTTCTTTTTTTTTTTTTTAAGATTTTATTTATCTATCTGACAGAGAGAGAGATCACAAGAAGGCAGAGAGGCAGGCAGAGAGAGAGAGAGAGGGAGAAGCAGGCTCCCCGCTGAGCAGAGAGCCCGATGTGGGGCTCAATCTCAGGACCCTGAGATCATGACCTGAGCCGAAGGCAGAGGCTTGACCCACTGAGCCACCCAGGCGCCCCCCTCCACATATTTTTCTTTTCAGATTTCACACAGAAGTGAAATCATACAGTATCTGTCTTATTTCACTTAGCCTGTTCTCAAGGTCCACATGTTATTGCAAATGGCAAGATTTCATTCTTTTTTTAATGGTGAAATAAGTAAATATTTAGGACGTTTTCATATCTTGGCTATTTATTGTAAATAATGCTGCAATAAACATAGGGATGCATATATCTTTTCAAATCAGTGTTTTCATTTTCTTTGAAGAAATACCCAGAAATGGAATTGCTGAATTGTATGGTAGTTCTACTTTTAATTTTTTGATGAGCCTCCATATTGTTTTGTTGTACTACCCACAGTAGTAGCTGTACCCGCTTATGTTACCACCAACAATGCACAAGGGCTGCCTTTTCTCTACATCCTTGCCAACACTTGTCATCTTTAGTCTTTTCAATAATAGTGAATCAAATAGGTGTGAGGTAATATCTGTTTTTATTTACTTATTTATTTGACCGATGGAGATCACAAGAGGGCAGAGAGGCAGGCAGAGGGAGAGGATGAAGCAGGCTCCCTGCTGAGCAGAGAGCCCGACTCGGGGCTCGATCCCAGGACCCTGGGATCATGACCTGAGCCGAAAGCAGAGGCTTAACCCACTGAGCCACTCAGGCGCCCCAGTATCTTTTTTTTTTTTTTAAGATTATTTATTTGACAGAGATAGAAAGCACAAGTAGGCAGAGTGACAGGCAGAGGAAGAAGGAGGCAGGCTCTTTGCTGAGCAGAGATCCGGATGTGGGGCTCAATCCCACGACCCTGGGATCATAACCCAAGCTGAAGGCAGCCACTTAGCCGACTGAGCCATCCAGGTGCACTCACTCTGCACTTCCCTGATGATTAAGGATGTTGAGCACCTTCCCTTATACCTGAAGTCCGTCTGCACATCTTCTTTGGAAAAATATCTATTCACGAATTCTGGTCATTTTATAACCCAATTGCTACGGTTTTTTGGTTTGTTCATTTGTTTTGTTTTTTGCTGTTGAGTTATAGGAGTTCTTTACGTATCTTGGATATTAACCCCTTACCACTTAAATGACTTGCAAATAATCTTTCCCACTCAGTAGGCTGCCTTTGCACTTTGTTGATTTCCTTTGCGGTGCCAAAACTTTTTAGTTTAATGTAGTTCCATCTCTTGATTTTTGCTTTTGTTGCCTTTGCTTTTGGGGCTGGATCAAAAAATCATCACCAAGACTGATGTTAAGGTGTCTATTACCTATGTTTTCTTTTTGAAATTTTATGGTTTCAGGTCGTACATTCAAGTCTTCAATCTATTTTATTTTTGTGTACATGTAAAATGCTGGTCCAGTTTTCCCAATAACCATTGAAAAGACTGTCCTTTACGTATTGTATATTCTTGGCTCCTTTGTTATAATTCACCATAAATGTGTGTTTATTTCTGGATTCTACTGCCCTAATGACATCTGTGTTTATGACAATGCCATACTCTTTTGATCACTAAAGCTCTGAAATACAATTTGAAGTCCTGAAGAGAGATGCTTCTAGCTTTGTTGTTCTTTCTCCATACTGCTTTGGATATTTGGGGTCTTTTGTGATGTCATAGAAAGTTTAGGATTGTTCTGTGAAAAATGCCACTGGAATTTTATTAGGGATTACAGTGAATCTCTAGATTGTTTTGAGTAGTGTATACATTTTAACAATATTAATTCTTCCAACCCAGGAACATTGAGTATCTTTCCATTCATTTGTGTTGTCTCCAATTTCTTTCATCAATGTCTTACAGTTTTCACTGTAAGACTCTGGAGGACTTTCACCTCCTGGGTTAAATTTGCTCCTATTTTATTCTTTTTAATGCAATTGTGAAATGGGATTTTTTCCCTTAATTTCTGATAGCTTGTGTATAGAACTGCAATAGATTTTTTCATATTGATTTTGTTGCCTGCAATATTTATGTTTATTGAATCAAACAGTATCTTGGTAGAAGCTTTAGGATTTACCATATATAACATCATGTCATACACAAATAGCGACAGTTATACTTTTTTCTTTCCAATTTGGATGGCTTTTTTTCCTTTCTCTTGCCTAATTTCTCTGGCTAGGATTCCAATACAACGTTGAATAGAAGTGGTGGGAGTGGGCATCCTTGTCTTGTTCCTAAACTTAAAGCTTTCAGCTCTTCACCACTGCGTATGTTCACTGTAAGTCTGTCATATGTGGCCTTTAGTATGCTAAGGTATGTTCCCGCTAAACCCACTTTGTTGAGTTTTTAGGATAAATGGATATTGAATTTTATCAAATGCTTTTACTGTCTCTATTGAGATGACACAATTTTTTTTTTTAAAAGATAATTATTTGAGAGAGGGAGAGAGAGCATGAGTGGGGTGAAGGGCAGAGGGAGAAGCAGATTCCCCACTGAGCATGGAGCCTGACGTGGGGCTTGTTCCTGGGACTCCAGGATCATGACCTGAGCTGAAAGCAGACACTCAACCGACTGAGCCACCCAGGCAACCAGGATGATATGATTTTTATCCTTCATTAGGCTAATGCAATCTCACACTGATTGTTGGGGATGCTGACCACCCCTGCATCATAGAATAAATCCCACTTGACCATGGTATATGATCTTTTTAATGTATTGTAAAAGTTGGCCCAATATTTTGTGTATTTTTTACAACTATATTCATCAGGTTTATTGGCCTGTAGTTTTCTTTTCTCTGGTGTCCTTGTACGGTTTTGGTATCAGGGTAGTGTTGGCCTCATAAAATTAGTTTGGAAGTATTCCTTCCTCTTCTATTTTTTGAAAAACTTGAGAAAGACTGGTACTGATTCTTTCAATGTTTGGTAAAATTCACCAACGAAGACATATGGTCTGGACTTTTGTTTGTTGGGAGGTTTTCATTACTGAGTCAATCTCCTCATTAGCAATTGGTCTGTTCAGGTTTTCAATTTCAGGAATTCATACATTTTTTTTCTGGGTTGTCCAAATTGATGGCATAAAACTGCTAGTAGTATCTTATGATACTTCGTATTTCTATGGCATCAGCTGTAACATCTCCTTTCATTTTTTATCCTCTCATTTTTAACTTTGAGCCCTCTCCCTTTTTTCTTAGGCGAATGTACATAAAGGTTTGTCAATTTTGTTTCTTTAAGCCAGCTCTTAATTTCACGTTTCTATGGTCTTTTTGACTTCGGGTCTCATTTGTTCTTTTTCTAGTCTTTGATATGTAAAGTTAGGTTGCTTATTTATTTTTTGTTTCTTGAGGTAAGCATTTATTGTCATGAAATTCCCTCTTGGAAATGCTTTTCTGCATTCTATATATTTTGGTATGTTGTATTTCCATTTTCATTTAAGGAATTTTAAAGTTTTTCTTTTGATTTCTACATTGACACATTAGTTGTCCCACACAATGTTTTTAACCTTAATATTTTTGAATTTTTCCGTTTTCTTCTTATAATTGAGTTCCAGGTCCATACCATTGTGGTTGGTAAAGATTCTTGGTATTTTACTCTTCTTAAACTTATGAAGACTTGTTTTGTGGCCTAACATGATTGGTGCCAGGGAACGTTCCATGTGCACTGCAGAATGTATTCTGCTGCCCTCGGATGGAATGTTCTAGATGTATCTGTTAAGTCCATCTGGTTGAATGGGTCATTGAAGGCTGATGTTTTACTTTTCGACTGAATGACCTATTCATTATACAAGTCAGGTATTGAAGTCCCCTTTTATTGCGCTGCCGTCGCTTTCTCCCTTTATGTCTTGCTTGATGTATTTAGGTGTTCCTACGTTGGGTGCAGTTGTATTTTATTTTTCTCACATGTTGTTGGATTTAATTTGCTGTAGTTTTGTTAAGAATTTTTGCGTCTATGTTTATGAGGAATAGAGGAATGCTGACTTCATTGGATGAATTGGGAAGAATTCCCTTTTCTTCAATTTTGCAGAACACTGTAATACTTGGCAGAAACTCACCAGAAAATCCATTTGGGACTGGAACTTTCTATATGGAAAAGTTTTAAACTACAGTTTTAAACTTAACTTTAATAGATATAGGGGCTGTTCAGGGTATCTATTGCTTCTTGAATGAACTACAGTCATTTGTTCCTATATATTAGTTTTTCTAGAGCTGCTGTAATAAAATACCACAGACCAGGTAGTTTAAACAATTTTTATTTGCTCACAATTCTGGAAGCTTCTGGGTTTCATCTATACTACAAAGTTAAGGAAAGTGACAGTCCCATCAAAACTCTATCATATGGGAAATGAATTAATCCTCCCAAGAAAAATGGAGATGCTATTACTAGAAGAAGACAAAAACGAATGCACCATATATAAAATTAAAAGACATTTAAACTGATTAAATTGTGTTATGTGTCTTCATGTTTCCTACGCTCAAGAACAGAGGAATTCTCTATTGCCCAAAAGTTAGAAATTACCCATTAGTGCACTTACTGTCCTCAGATACATTTAGTGAGCGTATGTAGAGTGCATTCTCAGTCTCTTCCCGATTTCTGGTCTACTTAAATTTCTTACTCCTAGAAGCCTAGGTCTTTTTTTTTTTTTTTTTTAAGATTTTATTTATTTAGAAGGAGCACAAGCAGGGGGAGTGGGAGAGGGAGAAGCAGCCTTCCCACCCAGCAGGGAGCCCAATGCAGGGCTCAATCCCAGGACCCTGGGATCATGACCTGGGCCAAAGACAGACGTTTCACCAGCTGAGACCCCCTAGGTGTCCCTAGAAGTCTAGATCTTAAAGACAGCTGTGATTGATCACATCCATGTCAACTAAGCAAAAATGGCCTTGGTCCATGTCCCTTTATTCCCAGACTACGGTCTATACACCAAGCGTGCGTGTGTATTCAAAACACATAAATCCTTCCTTACTGCTGGTGATATATCTATAAAACAGATTTATTACCAACACTGTTGATCCTTAAAGAACAGTAAGGTTAGAAGCACTGATCACCCCCTCCAGTAAAAAAGCAAAAACAAAACAACTGTGTGTGATTTCTGAGTCTCCTGAAACTTAACTAGTCTGTTGACCAGAAACCAATAATACAAAGAGCCAACAAGCACACGTTTTGCACGTTATATACTGGATTCTAAAAAAAGGTCTTTTCAAACTGTTACAAACGTCCAAGTGTTTTTCCGACATGTTCCTCAAAGACAGTCCGTGTGTACGGGCTTCTGCGTGGTGGGGCTCCTGCCGCTAAGGGCCGAGCTGCACAGCACAGCGTCTGGGGGCACCAACTCCACCTTCAACAGACGGAGGTCTGCAGCCTCGCTCTGCTCTTCCTTCCGCTGGCGGGAAGCCGCTCTGTTCCTTCCTCTGGAAAACGGGACATCGCGGCGCTGTCTCAGAGCCGACATGCTCCGAGGCGTTTTGTTCTTGAAGCCTTGCAGGATCTGCCGACGTTAGCACTTTGCTCTCAGTCCTGCACGGCAGGAACGGCGGGTCCCGTGAAGCGGGGGGAGGAGACCTGAGACGAGCAGACCGGCAGTCCCGGAGCAGACGCCCGTCTCAGCACGGGCTCTACAGCTCCCCACGCTCGGACAGGTCGCGTCCTCACTGAAGGTCTGAAGAAGAGGTCTCGGTCTCAGGACCGGTGTCCGGGCTGTGGTCCCGGCGTTACTGCACCCGTAAGAGCGCGCGGCACCTTCCGTGAATCCAGGCAGCCAGTGCCCGCCGGTTTGTCCCTCCCGCGAGCCCTCAATTCCCGAGACGGCAGCTGCTCCCGAAAACTCAGCACACCGGACACGCGTCCTCGTCAACGCAGCACGCGTGTGGCCCGAAGCGCAGCTCAGCCCGGCGCAGCCCAGGAGCACGACGGAGCGGAGCACGACGGAGCGGAGCGAGCCCAGAGAGGACGGGGGAGGGGAGCGCGAGTCCGGGGAGCACATCAGAGGGGAGCGCGAGCCCAAGGGGCACGAGGGAGGAGAACGTGAGTCCGGGGAGCGCAAGCTCCGATAGCGCGAGGCGGGGGAGCGCGAGGGCTGGTGAGTCCGGGGAGCGCGAGGGCTGGAGAGTCCGGGAAGCACGAGTTCAGGGAGCGCGAGGACCGAGGGCCGCTCACCGACACGCCGCCATGCGCCGCCGGCCACCGCGCTCCCGCCCCTCCCCCGCACTCACTGCCTCCCTCTCGAACATGCTGGGCTTCCTCTCCCTCCGAGGCGATGGCGGTGTCGGCTGCAGCTGCGGTGCCGGGCTCGGGGACGGCTTCGCGCCTCGCCCGCGTTTCTCCATGCCGCCCGCCTCCACCCGTCCCGAAGTCCTCGGCGGCTTCCCGCGACAGCTCAAGTCGCGCGCGTGCGCCGTGCGGGCCGAAAGTGCGGCCGGGAAGGAGGGGCGGGGCGAGGCGTGCGTCATCTCGCCGCGCCTGCCGCCCGGAATCGGAAGTGACGGAGGCGGAGCGGCCCGGAAGGCGTGGTTGGGCGCGCGCTTCGGTACCGGCGGGGGAGGTGCCGGCCGCTCCCGGCTGGCCCCGCGGGCTCTGCGCCTCCGTCGAGTCTGCGCCGGCGCGGCCGGGCCCCCGACCCTGACCCGGGAGACGCGCCCCGTGGGAGGGAACGGGATGTAGTTTCTCCGGGAGCTGAAGGCTGCGGGGACCCGGCGAAGCGCGTTCCCTTCCGCCCGGGTGGGATGAGCGTCGCTCCGCAGCGGCCGCTGCCTGCGTCCCGGGGCCGCGCCGTGTCCGGGTCCGTCCCGTGTGAGACCCGCCTTGGTGCAGGCCGCGGGGCGGCTCTTGCGGGGGTGAGTGTCCGAACCCGCGGCGGAGCGGCCTCCGGGCTGTGGTGTTCGGCCCGGGTCGCTCCGGAACCGGCGCGCGCGCCTGGAGCCGAAATGCTGCCGGAGCGCGGGGCCCCTCAGGGTGCGGTGCCGCGTGGGTCGGGGACAGCGCGCTGGGTCGGGCGGACATCAGCAGGGTCACGGCGGTGCGGATCGTGGGGGAAGGAGCGGGCTCCGTGAGGGCACCGGGGAGCCGCCCGCGAGCGGCCGACCCCGGCGTCAGAACCGGCCCAGCGCTGGGAGCTTTACGCTGAGGGGCTTTCGGGAGGCCCCGCCCCGCCCCGCCCCGCCGGGACCGGAGTCTCTCTGGGGGGTGGGCCCGGCGGTTCCGGGAGGCGGACCTGGAGAAGCAGGCGTGGGACGGCTGGTGCCGGGTCTCCGGGGGCGCGGGGGACGAAGCGGGGCTTCCAGGTGCCGGGAAGACTGCGGACGGCTCGGCCGCTGCGGGCGAGAAGCCCCAAGGGACAGAGGCGGGAGGGGGACAGGCGGCAGCGGGAGCGAGTCCTGCGGTGTCCGTGGTCCCTGGACGGCCACAGCGTCACTGACGGTTCCGCGCGTATCGCCGGGTCTGTGGAAGGTTGGTCGGCGGCCGGGGGGCTGCGGACACCGGCAGGTGAGGCCGCTGGGGACGGGGATGCCGAGTCGGGCGAGGAACTCGAGGTGACCGGCTTCCAGACCGGGGAGCTGCCGGGGCTTCGTCCCTCCGGTTGGGACGCGGACGTGACCCATCAGGTGAAGACCCCGTGGGGACTTTAGTCCCAGAGTGTGACTCTTTTGCGGGTTTATCAGATGCCGTTAGGGTTACGCGGGGATAATTAGGAGGATTTGGGTATTACTGAATCCTTCATGTAAAAGCGCGGTTTGCTGCTGCTCATACCACACAAGGAGGCGGAGGCTCTTTACTTGCTTTTTTTCTCATTGTGCTTGATTTTCTGCTTTTCCGTTTCCCATTTTGAAAAATCGCTCATTTTGATAACTTCGGGACAGGTAGGAACGCTGAAAGGAACAAAGCAGTATCTGTAAGATGTACTTCTGTAATCTTGTACCTTCGCAGACAGTATTAAAATTTCACATCTTCAACATCTATTTGAAAAATTTATGTAAACTGTCTTTAATTAACATTTAATCATAGCGTTTTAATCTCACAGCTCACGAGAGCCAGCAAGTGTGTTAGCAGCAGCTACACCTGAGTACATTCCGTGCTTAAGATGGAATGGGATTTTCTCGTTACTTGAATATATAATGGATATTACTGTTTTTGCTTCTTTTTAATAGTGTCTTCTATGTTTCATATTTCAGATGCTAATAGAGGATCCGATTGCCACTTGTCTCTCTCCCCCAGTCTATGATATGATCTGTAAACTGGGGTTTGAAGTCAGAGAAAATTGGGATATCGATCGCATTGTAACCCAGAGGGGAGACGTGTGCTGGCCGACCATCACAGCCTGTGTGATGTATACACGGTCAGGTCTGTGTGCTCTCAGCTCCCCAAGCACATGTCAGTGCTGGTCCGTTTAAAACGTCTTGACTCTAAAACTTTCCTTTCTGTCCATTGTTTCTCTTAGTTAGAACTTGTTATAACACAGACGTAGCTCAGCACAGGAGAAGGTCAGGTGACACGAGAGGGAGTGAGGCCAGAGGAGCACAGCAGAGAGATGGGAGTGCCGAGCCCCGGAAGCCCTGGGTGAGGAGGCGGCCGCGGGTGGCACAGTCTCACTCCAGGCCAACAGTCAGATGGAAGAGAGAAGGAAGTCGGAGTGCTAGGAATTCTGGATAGGAAGGGACCAGTAGGATGTTCCACGGCTGTCTTAAATGGTCCAGGCTTTATTGTTCATTGTTTAGAGCACGGAAGTGGGTTGGGAAATTTAATAATAGAAAAATTTCAAGCGAACATTCCCTGGCCCAGCAGTTTCATCCCAGGAATTTGTAAGATGGGCTCACTTGCAGGTGTAAAAGAGTCTACTCTTGGTGCTGATTATAAGCAAAAATTGGGAAAAAAAAACAAAAACAAAAACCAACAAAACCCAGACATTGGAAACAGCCAAACGTACAGGGTCACTCCGACAGAGGCACACGAGAGAGCGTTATGTGGTGGTACGAGGGATTGAGAAGCCCATCGCTGAACCATGTGGCTAAGTGAGAAAACGGGGGGGGGCTTGTAATTGCTTTTGCTTGTGTATGTATAAATATTTCTAAATGTACCCAAGAAATTAGTAACTGTAGTTGCTATTGGAAGGAGAACTGGGTGGCCAGAAGGGAGACCTTCACCCGTTTATACTTTTTGGGTGTGAACCGTGTGAATGTTGTTTCAAACTTACCAAAAAATTAAAGCAAAAAATTCGTATGTTCTAAAATAACGTCATTGGAAATCTCATGGTCTAATAATGTCAAGTAAAAAAATCAGGTTAAAAGATCGTACAGTATAAACCCGATTTTTTTTTTTTAAAGATTCCATTTATTTATTTGACAGACAGAGATCACAAGTAGGCAGAGAGGCAGGCAGAGAGAGGAGGAAGCAGGCTCCCCGCAGAGCAGAGAGCCCGATGTGGGGCTCAATCCCAGGACCCTGGGATCATGACCTGAGCCGAAGGCAGAGGCTTAACCCACTGAGCCACCCAGGCGCCCCTATGAACCTGATTTTGTATAAACTTACATACAAGTAAAGTGAAGAAAATATTTTGTCTTGACTAACCTTTGTGTATTTTCCAAACCCTGCTAATAGTGTGATTTTGTTTTATTGTCAGATGAGTGCTATGTAACTTACTCCCACAATATCAGGGTAGCTTTATTATAGGCTCCTAGAAACCGGTTGTCGATTTCATGGAAACTTCCTGATTGAAGTACGTGGTCTCTGATGCTCTAGGCACTTTCGTCACCTAACACGGAGCTGTGGCCGAGCTGTGGCACTAACACTGGTTTTCTTACCCCCGCAGCCCAGAGTCTGGATTACCGGGGCAGCGTGCGGCTGCTGGGCCCTGTGTGTGAGGCCGTCCACTCGCATTTGTTATCTCTGACCAAGGGACAGTTTGAGACTCGATACGCGCCGTGGCTGCAGTGGACAGCTTTTCCAGAGGTTTGGCTTGTGAACAACCTTTAGAAATACAAGACTTTGCAAAGTTTGCGTAGAGGCCCTGGTTACCTGCTCATCTTTCGTCTCCTCCATCCGCTAAGCCCACCACCTATGAAAAGGCTGGAGGGTTTTTTTTTTTTTTAAAGATTTTATTTAATTTATTTGACAGAGAGAGATCACAAGCAGGCAGAGGCAGGCAGAGAGAGAGGAGGAAGCAGGCTCCCTGCTGAGCAGAGAGCCCGATGCGGGGCTCAATCCTAGGACCCTGAGATCATGACCTGAGCCAAAGGCAGTGGCTTAACCCACTGAGCCACCCAGGCGCCCCAGGCTGGAGGGTTTTGAGGGAAACTTGGACTATTACGCAGTAGCCATGGCCCAAGCTAAGAAACATCCTTGGAACCAAGGAAGGTTTGGGAGGCGTTATCCATGTAGGGGGTTGGGGAGTAGCTGGGCATGCGGGTGTCGGTCCTGGGACACACGAGAATGGACCGCTCCAGGAAAAGAGCAAAGACCTCACGGGCAGACCATAAGGCGTTCTTTAGATAGCGGACAGGGAAGCCAGGTGGTTTGTGGAGGGGAATCGAAGGGAGGAGGTGAGTGGGCCCAAGCCCAGACCTTGTTTGGGTCCCGCCATTGCACTTGGCACCTGTAATGAGCACAACAGCTCGGTGACTCTGGAGGGTCTTCCTCTAAAGTACTTCGGATTTCCTGATGTAGGTGGAAGGGTCGTTGCTTCTCCCCCTTGTAAGGCTCTTACCCGACAGGCTGAGCTGCCTCCGTTTATCGGCTTAGAACTAATCAAAATGGGAAAAAAGATTTAGATCAAAACAGCTGACTTTCCCATTTATAGTCAGATTTACTGCTTTCAGTGAACATTTAAATGAAGGGGAAAAAATGTTCAGAACTCCTTAGATATTAAGCAGTTTTTGATTCTTTAGGTATTGCTACAGTTGAGTCTTGAACAATGCAGGGCTAGGGTGCCCAGCCCTTGTGCAGTGGCAGATCTGCACGTGACTCAGGACTCCCTCGGAACTGAACTGCTCTTAGCCTCCCTGACCGCAGGCCTTACTGATGATGCACATAGTCGGTCCACACGTATTCTGTGTTCTGTGCTCATTACTGTGTTCTTACAGTGAAGTCAGCTGGAGAGAAGTGACTAAGAAAATCATGAGGAAGAGAAGAATACACTTACAATACCGCACTGTGTTTGTGGGGAAAAATCGACATGTAAACTGACCAGTGGCGTCCAGACCCGGGTTCAGGGGTCAGCTGTGTATGTGTGTAGAAAATGTTTACCTGCACCAGAAAGGTCATGAAAATGTACCAGTCGAAACCTTTAGAAGTTTGAATTTCGTAGATGGGATTGAGAAATGTTTCCTGCTGATCACAGATTCTAACGTATGTCTTACTCTGCACAGTTATTTCCTGAAATATTTGCTGCTTTGGAAAGCCTCCAGGGTCCCGCCATCTCTCTTGGCTTAATGAAACTGACGGCGTGTCTAGAACGGGCTTTGGGAGATGTAAGCGTGACGACTTTCTTTCACTCAAGTATGCGAAAAACATAAAGCTTTTACAGCTGTCCTCAGATTTCTTGATTTTAATTACTGTTTCCCTATGAAAGGTAATCATTTGGCACAGGTGTTTAGTATTTTTCTTTTTGAATGATTATGAAATCAAAACATCGGTGTCTTTGGTGCTTTTCTCACTCATTTGTGCAAACGGTGGCTTTATGCGTACGTGTCTCCGCGCGTCGACTGGCTGCTCGCCGCACAGCTCGGACGCGCTCCTGTCTGCTCCGCAGGTGCTCGTCCTGCTCGGGAAGGACTGCCCCTTCCTTCTGCGAGACCTGCTTGTGTCTGAGGAGCTTGCTGCGGTCTTCGGGCGGCCTGTGGTGAGTTGTTCGCCTGAACCTGACAGAGTGGACAGCACAGAGCCGCTCGTGGTAGCTCGACTCGGGTTTCTCAGAAACGGATGCCTACGGGAAAACGTTCGTGAGAGCTGTAGTCGGGCGCATTCTCCTTTCCCACCGCCCCTTTCAGCATTGCCACTTTCCCGCCACAAGACACGTGTCTCTTTTCTTGAGCCCGAGTGTGCTCTACTAGCTTGTGGTGGGACGGCCGGGGGGGCCAGCCGGGGGAACAATTTGGACTCTTGCTTTCATTCATTATGCATTGATAATTATCATAATAACATTCCAGGATAAAATTTTAATCATTGAGCGAGTGATACTAAAGTTTTATCCTAAAGTATCCATTTTTTTTTAACTTGCAGGAATTTATGTCCTTTTGCAACTGTTCATACTTACAGTGAAAAAACACTAGATGTCAATTTAAAAACATGCAGAGCTGTTTACTTCGTCAGAATCTTCCTCGGGACACATGACCGAGGCTGTTTAATGAATAAGCTTTGGTCCCGATGCAGGAGAACGCCAGGAACGCGTTCTGCACAAAGCCCAGCCTTTGAGCCAGAACGACGCTTGAAATACTGCTGTCACGTGTTCCCAGCTAGACTCATTTTTGGATAAGAAATTCTGTTCAGTAAAGCCCTCCCACTTTACAGTGGTTCCTTGTCAGCTTAGAGAGCGCTGTGTTTTGGGGAGAGTACAGGGTGAAGATCAAGTACAAGATTCCTGTAGTACACGGGCCTCTGACACATGTCCAGATGTTCCGACCTGCTCCTTGTCGCCTGCCTGGGTGCCGTTAGCCTCTCGCCGACCTGTAGCCACTCGCGGCCCCAGATCCTTCCACTCATTCACGGGCTCGTGCGTTTCTCAGTGTGCAGGTGGTATGAGCCGTTAATTAAAGTTAGTGGTAAATTAAATTAAAAATAAATATAGCTAAAAGAGTACTTAAAAGCTCTTTTAAAAAGATGTTATTTATTTATTAGACAGAGATCACAAGCAGGCAGAGAGAGAGAGAGAGGAGGAAGCAGGCTCCCTGCTGAGCAGAGAGCCCGATGCGGGGCTCGATCCCAGGACCCTGAGATCATGACCTGAGCCGAAGGCAGAGGCTGAACCCACTGAGCCACGCAGGTGCCCTTAGCTAAGAGAGTATTATTATGATTACTAGCAGTAGGCGTTACTATTCAAGTATTAAAAGTTGATGTGAGCGTGAAGAGTTTCTGGAGTTGCTTGGAGGGAGGGGCTGGTTGCCAAGGGTTCTGATGCCGACTTGGAACGCCTCTTTGTAACTTCCGCTCTGGCTTGGCCTGCCCCTTGAGAGAAATTCAGGATTTCTGCATCTGTGTCCTCCTCTCACTCAGCAAGGGTCTCTCAGCGTCTGCAGACAGCTTTCGTTCCTTCCCTGCATCTTCTGGGGCCTCCCTCTTCCTTATTGTGTGACTTGGTTTTGAGTTCTCTTAGTCTCTGCATATCCTCCATCTTTCCCGAATCTGTTCCAAAGTGTGGTGCTCCACACCGAGAGTGAGCCCCCGGAGATGCACGAGCCTTGCCGTCCAGTAGCCAGGATCCCCATCATTGGCGTCTTTGTAAGTGAAGGGACAGGAGCAGGTGGCTGCTGAGCCTCCAGCCAGCGGCCAAGTAGGGGAGGCCTGGGCTCGGAGCATCCGTGGGCCCAGGGCCTGCCGTCTGTGGATTCTCTGTTCCCTGCTTTGTGATCTGTTCACCTCGTAGTAGGCACACGGGAGGCGCAGGATGAGAGCAGCCTGGCCTGGGACGGACCTTGTTCCCTCGATGGCTCGTGGCCCCCAAGACCTCGCGTTTAGCTCTCCATGCTTGCATTCCTCGTCTGCACAGGGGTGAATGGTAGTGGCCTCCTCGTAGGTTATTCTGAGGAGGAAGGAGTAGCAAATACACAAAATGTGTTCGGCGTGTTGTGCGCCCAGAAACGTTGGAATGCTGCTCCTCTTACTGCCGGTGCTGTAGCGCAGCTGGGGCGTCGGGTCTGCGGACGTTCTCCGCTGCTCCGTCGGTCTGTCCCGTGGTTCCTGACTTCGAGCTCTCCGGTAACCTGTTCTTAACCTGCTCAGATGGACGTGCTGAAGGTCTTCGTCGGATCCCCGTGTGGACTCAACTTGCGTAACGTGCTGTGGCACGGGTTTGCCTCCCCTCGCGAGATCCCCCCGAAGTACGTTGCTGCAAAAGTAATTTTCTCTGTCCTGTGAGACACTTGAGTTTGTCTTATCTTGAGTCTTACATCAGGGAAAGGTGTGTTTTGGGAAAGATGAGCGTTTTGACGCAGAAACTTGGTGAGATCAGACTGAGGCCACTGGACACGTGGCATGTGACAGGGTTGGGCCCCGCTGAATTCCCGCCCAGGGGCAGCTGTAGGCTGAGCCTCGTGGAGGTGACAAGAGCCACCGCCTGCTGGGGAGTGGGAGACCCCGAGGACTGTGCTCGTGAGCCTCCCAGCCCTCGCGTAGCTGAATTCCCACCGGCAGGGGGAGTTTCCTGCCATTGAATGGCGGTGTACTTAGTTTTAAACTTGCTCCTTTGAAAGGAAATCTCTGTGTGTGCGTGACCGTCTGTTTTTCTGACTGATCCTGTGGTGTTTTGCTTTAGGTACTGTTCAATGATGATGCTCTTGACCGTGGGGCTGGGCCAGCTGCTGAAGAGGTACTTGGAGCAAACGAGACGTGTGCTGGCGCACCGACCTCGCGTAGCTCTCGCACACCTGGAGGAGGCGGCTGTTTTCCCTGGCAAGTGCTGCGCCGCACGGTTTCCCTTGAAGAAAGGGGTAAAGTCAGGAAGCAGCGTGGGGACTTGACCCTTTAGATAGACTCCGTGCTCTCCAGAGGCTGGAGAACGTGACGTTTCGAAGCTGCTTAAACTTCGTTACGTAAAACCTCACCTCTTCCCACCGCGCCCCTGGCTGTGCTGGGGAGTCTGCGAGTCGTGGCTGCGTGAATCCATTAGTCGTGCCAGATGTGGTCCGTCCTGCAGGGGTGTGGACATCCAGACGGCTTAGGACCGTTTGGCAACGTACATTCCCTTCTCCTTTGAGCTCTCCTACTTTTATGTGTGCCATCATGATGCCAAAGAGGCCAACAACCTAGGTGGTCTCCTCTGTCCTCTTTGTTACCTTCTGTGACAAAGCCATTTACCAAATTAGTGGGCGCGGGGGACACGACCTTTCCGAGCCTCTTCCTTTCCCAGTGGGCAGCGGAGCGGTAGGAGCTGTGTGTCTGGTGGAAGTCATGGTAGGAGCAGCCCAGCTCACTTGAGTCCCAGCAGGCTCTGCCCATTTGTGCCTCGGACCCTTGGGTAGTCTGGTGACTGCCAGTAATGTATACTTTTTAAGACTTTACTTTTTAAAGCAGTTTTTTGTTTGGAACAAAATGGATCCGCAGGGCCCCGTTGTGCGGGAGGAACCCACACGGACGCGCCATCATCAGGCAGAGCCCGCAGTTCACCTCAGGGTTGGGTCTTGTTCCTCTGTCTTCTGAAGACGTTTCTTTCCTTGGCCAGCGTGGCCAGCATGGTCAGCTGGTCAGCCCTGACGTCCTCCTCACAGCTGTGGCCTGAGTCACTAAAGAGGTGGTGGTGCACATCCCTCTGCCCCCAGGGTGCCAGGCTCACCTAAGACTCTGGGTACCCTGCCCTGCGCCCGTTCACGTCATGCTTCAGTGGGTGAGTGTGATGGTTACTTCACAGACGTTACTCCCGAGGTACTTGGTGTGTTAGAAGACGTGATGAGGAACTCCACTTTCATCCGGAAGGTCATGATGCCGTACTGGGAAGCTGCGTTCCTCAGCTTCCGGTCACACAGGTAAGTCACGAGGCTGGTCCCTCTCCGGGAGGGCCACGCTTAAATACCTTCACAGCGTTGACTAAGGCCCTGCACGTCCGCCTTTTGGTGCGGTCGATACTGATAATCCTTGTTTGGAATCAACTTTTCGATGTCAGGCGAGTTGTTACTATGAGAGAACCGTGCGTCCCATGTGAGAGAATCCTGCACTGAGGAGGAGGAAGGTTCTACTCTCTCCTGGGGAGCAATGTAGATGCCTATGGGCGTCGTGAGGTCCACAGCCTTTGCCTCCCTTCGGGTTCCGCTGTCTGGACGTTCATTCGTACCTTGGAAACCCGCCCAAATGCTGGAATTGGAGTGTTTCTTACAAGTGGGAAGAACGGGGCAGATCTCTGATGGTATCTTATTGTAGAGACTCTTGGCGTGTTTCCTCTCACGTCACAACAGTGGAAAATAGATTTAAACTCACGGTTTAAGGAGATGGTGACTCCGCGCTCTTGTGTTGGCGAGGTCTGTTGCCCCACCTTGCCCCGATCACTCACTGGTAATGTCTGGAACAAGGACCGTTACTTGGGGTTGGTGCCGGTGTTTACTTTGGAAGCTTGCGGTTTGCCCATTTTCCTTCAATTTCACAGGTTTGCTGACTGTGCCGTGTTGTTACTGACGCAGCTGGAGGCGGGACTTAGGAGAGTTTTTGCCGCCGTTAACCAGTGTCCGAGAAGACTTCTGACCGCTGAGGTACACGTGCTGTAGGGGTTGCCGGTGGTTGTCGCTGTACTGAGTTTTCTCTGCTGAATTAAGTTTTTAATACCTTGTTTTGTTTACTCTTTAATGAATTTTTTAGCCAAGAATTTTCTTTGGAAGACTTAAGTGTCATTTTTTATGGCTTCCTGTTACGTTTTATAGGACTTAAGTATTTGTGATTGTTTCTGATGGTTCTGTATTTCCACGTATCTCAAACTCGTCATAAAAATAGAAACCACGTGTTTCCTGTCTGTAGCCGTTACTGTCACGTAGCCTGGGAGCCCCAGGAGGTGGCCCTGTTGAAGGACACCCCTTGCTCTGGGCCAGAGCTGCCAGGGAGTCTAGGCGGAGCCTCTGGGCAGCCGTGTGCCCGGTTTCCCACAGGCTGCCGACGGGCAGAGCCGCGGCGCGTGTGGTCGGGGTGAGCAGCGGTGGCCGCCCTCCCTGGAACTCGTTACTCTCGCTTGGTCAGCTTCCGCTTTCCGCCCCTGTCCAGCGGCGTCCCTCACAATTCCGTTCTCGGCCCTGTGCCCCCCGGATCTGCCGCGGGGAGATCTCACTCCCTCCCACGTCTTAGCCACCTCACTTGCATGGGGACAAGGACTGGAAAATAGTTTGAACCTAATGAAATGAAGGCGCGACACACGCAGAGCTGTGGAGGCGCCAGAGCGGTGGCGGGACAGCCGATCGGAGCGTGAAAGGCCGCCGCCGCCCCGGCCTTCGCTGCCTCTAACTCTGCTCATCCAGCTCCCGAGTTAGGTCCCCGCTCGCCGGACGTTCTCAGACATTTTCAGGAGTTTTCCCCAGGTCTCAAACTACTTTATTTCTAAAAATCTCACTTTTCCTCCCACAAATTTGTTCTCCAGAGTTCCTGATTACCCTCGTCCGCTTGGGCGCTGGGCCCCAGCCACCCACACCCCCTTGTGCTGTGTCCCCGTCATCCACTCAGTGTGCAGCCCCACCTGCCCGCTCTCAGTGCTGGGCGTCCCCCAGCTCCTCCCAGCGATGAGTATCCCGACATCTCTTAAGGCCTCATTGCTTAAAACCGTAGCAGCTCCCCAAGGCCTGCAGCACGCTCTGCGCGTGTTGGGGGGGCGGCCGCATGCCGGGGACCCCGTGTGGTCCCGCCTTCCTCCAGTCTGTCTCCTTTCGGATTCCTCCAGCATCACGGAGACCCCTCGCTGGTTCCCGAAGGTCTGTCCGCAGGCTTTGCCCGCTGTCCACACTTGACCACTGGAGGCCACGTGAATGACCTCCCAGAGCCTCAACTCCATCGCGGCCGCTTCTCTCCCCCTCGTCCTGCTTTTCTCTCCGGGCAGTTCTGCTCTGCCTCCGTGTGTGGTCGTGTGGGTTTCTGTGCAGGCCCATGAGAGTGCGGCACTCAGGTTTGTGTCGCCCGGTGCCCTCGCCTGGTGCTTTCCTGTCGGCCCCGGGCAGAGACCGGCAGTGCTGTGCAGCATCTGTCTCCCCGCAGAGAGAGCAGAGCCCCCGGCAGTCCCAGCTCTCCCTTGCATGTGCTTGGGATGACTTCAGGGTGGCATAAACAGATTCGGTTACTTGCGTGCTATTTGACCACACAAGTAAGTGGCATGACTTTCTACCACAGAGTCTCTTAGACTGTAGGCCCGGCTCTTATTCAGAACAAACGTGGCGTCAGTTCATTTATCAGTTCTTTCATAAGGCGACACGCACGTGCAGATGCTCTGCGTACCAGGCTGTGAAGTGCTGTGCCCGTGGGGACTGTTGGCTGAGCGCTTCCAGCCAGAGCTTTCCGAGGTCAGTGGAAGGTCGGAGGAGGAGTAAGACTGTGACTTTAGGGGTGCCTGGGTGGCTCAGTGGGTTTAAGCCTCTGCCTTCAGCTCAGGTCGTGATCCCAGGGTCCTGGGATCGAGCCCCGCGTCGGGTTCTCTGCTCAGCAGGGAGCCTGCTTCCCCCTCTCTCTGCCTGCCTCTCTGCCTACTTGTGATCTGTCTGTCAAATAAATAAATAAAATCTTTAAAAATAATAATAATAAATAAATGAGACCATGTGACTTTAAGAAGCTTATGTATGAGGGGTGAGAGATAGGGCTTTTCCACCAGTTCCTTAACATAAGGTAGAAGTTAATGCACGCGGTTTATGGAGGTCCATGAAAAGCTCAGTATTTAGTAGGCAGTCGGCTGTTCAGAGCTCGGGAAGGCTCCAGGGTCAGCCGTAGAGGCTTGGGGGCTAAAGATACAGGCCTCATAGTATCTTATGTCACAGCAGGTGGTGACGGGAATTTAACGTTAAATTGAAAACATGTTAGTAAGCATGAGTAAACAAGACACCGTTTTGAGAGCTGGCGTCCACGGAATGCTGGCTTCGTCAGTGTGTGTGCGATCTTGTTGCATTCCCCAGCAGCTGGTCGAGACGGGCACTGCTCATGTCCCGTTTGCAGAGAAACCTGGGGGGGGGCGGGTGTGCCCTGGGTCTCACCTCCGGGGAGCTTGGAAGCCGGGAATGGATGTTGAGGCAGCCGGCTCCGAGCCTGTGTCTGTAGGTGGGACCGATTACATGAGGAAGCGTGCAAGACGGGCCCTTTGTGGGAGAGCGTGTCCAGCCGTGCTCACTTGCACGCACCTGTGTGTGTGTGTGAGTCCTGCTGTGTGATGGGAAGAGCCTGAGCCGAAGCGCATGGGAGGGCAGTTGCACGGGCCCTACTGCCACGTTCACCGTAGGTTCCCGTCTGGTGACGTGCTGCGATGCCAGCGACGTTCTTCACAGAGTCGGCTAGGTCGAGGCTGACTTTCAAACAAAGGCTTCATACTTGTGTCCGTTTACTAGAATTGTTTTTTCTCTTTTGAGTAACGTCACTCTACTTACATTTTGTTTTGTTTGTTTTCTCTCCTTGTCTGAAGCCCACGGCTCTTTATACCACCTTTGATGAAGTAAGTAACTTACGGAGTTTCTAGAAACAAAACATTGTTTTTTACTACACAGGAAATATCGATAGTCATATATGCCAAAAAAAACCCACTTTAGTATGGAATTAAGTGTAGTTTTCAGGCTAATTTTGAGATCCAGTATGATTAACCTAGTTTCTGAAGGTGTGGAAAGAGCAACATTGGAAAATGCCCGGAGATACTAATACTATATGCTGTGATTATTTGAAGGCTGCATTTTAGAAATAAGATTAATGCTTGTTTTGCCCACAAGATGAGCAGGGACTGCGGTTGTAGGTGTGAGCCGATGCACCTAATCTGTGAATTGGGTGTGTGATTCTGAAGCTGGAAATCTCGAATACTAAAAATTGCCATTGAAAATGTCTTTTTTCACTGAAGAGTAGAGAGGCTAGTGTGTGTGTAATCCTGGATAATAATTCTGCAGCCCGAAGAGCTAGCCTCCCCGAGGAGACAAAGGGAGCCTCTCTCTGGAGAGGGTTAGGTGTTTAGGTTCCTCTGCCCTTAAGATAACTCTTAGATCCCTTAGGAATGGGTTGGGGGGTGCAGGATGAAGCAGTGTGCGTGTTCACCTGTAGAGTTCATCCCATTAGGTAAATAATGTGCTATAATTTAACACATGACGTGTTTGATACTGTGAGGATTGAACAAAATAATGTAGTTACATCTGTACAGAATTAGGGTCTGTAGGGTTGGATTGGGTGGTTGGGTTCCAAACTGGTGTGTTAGGAAGTGACATGTAAAGTAATTCTGATGTGTGCTTCTACACACACACACTCACATGTGTGAACACACAGAAACACATAAGTACACACGAATACATACATACACACACGAACACACACGCACACCTACACGTGTGTGTACGTGTGCATCTCTGTTAAACATACACGTATAATACAGAAACACATGCACAGATACAGTCAAATCCACAGAAGTAGGTGCGCGCACACACACACTGATACACACCCCAGCCCCGTACATGTGGATACAGCTCTCAGTAGACGTCCGTGCACGTCTGTGCAGATAACTCATGCATACACGCATCTGCCCGTCATCACACACATGCATGTAAGTGAACACAAACACCGTATACACCCACACGAGACACGTGTGCTCACGTGCATTCCCGCGGTCATCATACCGGTTAAGAGAACAGGTAGCTGCTGTGACTCAAAGACAACCCTTATCTCCTTTGCTTCGGGCTTCGGCGGTGTGTCGTAAGCACAGAGGCTGCATCTTCTGAATGCAGAACCCTGAAGATTCTGTGGGTGTACGGGTGTGTGTTGATTAACTAATGTATTTATTTTTGGTGTTTCAGATATTGGCAAAACACTTGAACGACGGTAAAATCAATCAGCTTCCTCTTTTCCTTGGAGAGCCTGCGATGGTAAAATACTAGGCCTTTTCCCATCTTTTCCCGTCTGATACTCTTCAGCTTACGGATGTGATTAGCACGTCTCCAAAATGAAGCCCACCGTGGCCTGGGATGTGCTCACAGAGAGCGCTTCTGAACCACCCCACACTGTCTCCAGCCGCGCGAGACGTCCGAGAGAGGGCACTTAGAGAGAGGCTGCCGGATGGGGACAAGCAGGGGCTGTGTTCAGGCAGGAGTTCGGGGGTGGTTCCCACCCCGAGCTGTGGCCACAGGTAGAGATGCAGTTCCCGGGGGGAGGGGGTGTCCCGCCCCGAGCTGTGGCCGCAGGTAGGGAGACAGTTCCCGGGGGAGCCCAGTGCACTATGTGAGCTTTATGACTGAGGTTAACTGTGTGCGGCTCAGTTTCTGCGCCTCTGTAAGTGACGCTGCTGTCCCTAGAGATGTCAGGCGTGGCCCATTCTTTCTTCCCTCAGTTAGCAAACTAACAAGATATTTTCTCTGTTTGCATTCTGAAAGGAGTTTCTTTGGGATTTCTTGAACCATCAGGAGGGCCCTCGTATAAGAGACCGTTTAAGCCATGGGGAAATCAACTTACCTGAATTTCCAAAAGAAGCAGCAAATCAGTTGCTTGCGTTTTCTGGGGTCCTTTTACTCAGATTCGTTGATGAAGATCTGTCAGCAGCCTTCAAGGTAGCGTACGGGGGAGAGAACCATTAGACGAGCTGTTACCTAGCTGGGACAGGATAGAGTGTATTTCCAGATGTAATTAACCCTTAATCAGCTTTTCTTTAAATTTGAGCCGTAGTGTGCCTCCCTCAGAAGCGCAGTGGCGACTTGATGACAGGCGAGCGTTTGCTGTGCGCGTAAACCGTGTGATCAAGAACCGGTGTGTGAGACGGGGTTAATTCAATAGGTCGGGAAATTTTACAAATAACGGTTAAATTGGTCGGATGGAATATTTGCATCGATCAGTAAACTGATTCTTTTTATTATCTTACAACAAATAATTTGGGGTAGTTGTTGGTATTTTAATCTTGTTTTCAAATGACGCACGTCTCATTTACTCTAAAGTTTGTTGAGAGGTTCAGACAAAGCAGAAGACGTGATAGGAAAAGTGACGGCACTGGGGGGCGCCTTCCGGCAGGGTGAGCTCTGTTCACGGAGGGGCGTTGCCCGGTCCTTCCACAAGCACGCGGTAGAGCCAGAGGGAGAGCGCGGTCCGTGGCTGTGCGCTCCGCGGTTTCTGCCCGCTGCCGGCGTTGTTAGCGGTGCACCCTCACGATGTGAGCTGGTCCCCGTGGACGGGGTGGGTTCTGACGGGTGGGGCGCTGCTGGTGACAGGGTCTCGAGGCGGCACCTTGCTCACTTGGGCACGTGTGAGGGAATTTGCACAAGTGCAGTTCTGAAGCAAAACTTGCTTTTACTGTTCGTTGGAAGCGCGTGATTCTTTTGTGAACAGTTAATGTCTTTTGCTCCATTATATGCGTTTCTGTGTTTTGTTGTTAGCTGCACTTGCCGCTCCAGTGTGCGTGTTGCTTCTTCCTTGTCTTAAAGCTTTGAGGTCTTTTCATTTTGGCTTAGGCATTTGGAATCATTCTTAAAAGACCCTTTCGTTTCCAAAATTATGAACATAAATGTGCATTTCCCCAGTACCTTTAAAAGGTGTTTTTCCATTTACATCTTTTGATCCAGCCGGAATTGATTTCGTCTGGGAGTGAGTTCGAGAATCTGCTTTACTTGTTTTTATCTTTTCGTCGGTTTGTTGTTTGTTGTTTTTTTGACAAAAGGCTTGTAGGTTGGCCCCAGAGCGTTTGGCAGACGGACGTCTTTGTAGTGTGTGCGGTGGGCTTGGTCTCCTTGTGTATCCGTCCTCACCTTTGTCAGAGTGCGGTGTCTGAAGGTGACTTTCCCATCCCTCTTGTTCAGAGTTTCCCTGCAGCCGCCCCAGTAGGACTGTAGGCAAACTTGCATAGTTACGGTGTCCACAAAGCCCAAGACTAACCAAGCAACAAACGGGAATGGGCTCTTGATGGGTTCATTTTGGGGAACTGATGGTTTTTACGATAGCGAACATCATTCCCAAACGTGGTATCTCCGTGTCCTCAGAATCCTCCTCTCTTTGCTTGTCCACATCGTGTGTGCCTCCCTCCACCGTAGACTCTGTCCCCAGCACTCCCGTGCGGTGTCCTGGGCCGAGCTGCCCCAGCCTCACCTGCCCTCCCTTCGATGGCCCTTTGTTCGCGCGTCAGCATAGCAGCCAGCGGGGTCCCCCGCAGGTCCTCCCCGCTCCTCCCCTCCACCCACCCTGGTCTCACATCTCTGCCAGGGCACGGGGCCTCTCGTGAGGATTGTGAGTGGTGGCCGCCCCGTGTGGAGGTCGGCCCGCCTGCCTTGCTTGGGTCTTTGAGCGAACGAAAGCTTTGCGCCTGGATATTTAGTGACTCGCTCTGTGCTGTGGAGGACTCTGGGGCGCTACTGCCTCGGCGGCAAAGTGACCGGTCGAGGACTGTGTTTAAGGTGAGCGAGCTGTTGGCTCACTGACTTTGCTGTTTCTGGTACTTCGTGATTCAGCCAGCCTGGCTTTTCCGGCCACACTGTCACATGAGCTGCGAATCGGGTTATTTTGACCCGTTTCCAACGTTTGCATGTTTAGCAGTATGACTCTCTTTTAGTGGTACTGATTTGTAATTTTTAAATTCCCATTCTCTCTTTTTTGGAGACGTTCATATATTTTTAGTTGGTTGTTTGGAGTCTGTGTTCTTCTTACGTGTTTCCAGTGTCACTGATTGTGGACAAAGAGGAGATGTGGCCTTTGTTTGTCGTTGTTCATCGGCTTCATTTGAAAAACTTCTGTTGTGAGCATGTGACCACCGTGCCAGCCCTGCTCCAGTGGCGAGGACTGCTCTGTCAGAGCTGAAGGAGCCTGGGCGGGGGCTCTCGTGTGACTCGCACTCAGCGGGAGGAAACCGGGGGCCTGGCCTGGCCGCAGTCACCCTTGTCTGTGTTTTCTGAACCAGGAAGAAGCTGCCATCGGATCGCTGGCCGCTCTCGCAGACGGTTACCGCGCTCACTTCCACCCAGTTTCTCAGCTGAAAAAACAGGTGAGCCGCACGTGGGCCATCGGGAGGGCTGCGCACGCTCCTGCGGCAGAGATGCCCACGGGGCCAGGCAGCCTGCCAAGCCCGACCTCAGGGTCGCGACCAGAGGCTGCCGCCCAGGAGTGTGGCCTTGGCCCCGCAGCTCTGTCCCTCTGAGCCTCAGGCCCACACCCGGCAGAGGCAGTAATGGCAGTCTCGTGTCGGGCGATGGAGTACTTGAGTCCTGGTGTGCGCGGCAGGTTCTCGCCTTAACTGGGGACTGCTACCCCATGTACCTGTGGCGAAGAACGGCAGTGTTCCTTTCACCCCGTGGGACCAGAGCATGTGCCCTTGTAAATTAGATGGTGCAAACCATAGACTTTTGAGCATTTCTGCCAGGAAGTTCCAGTGTGGAAATGAGCTTGGTGCTTTATTCTCCTCGTAGTGGGATATGAATGTGCAAGGGGCAAGGATGGGCTCGTCTCCAAGAGCAGCGTAGTCGTGGTAGCTGCCGCCGCAGACACCCATCCGTGGGCCTGCCTCTAGACGAAGCTGTGGAACCCAACAGAAGGGTTTAGGGAGTGATTTGCAGCGGCCGCTGGAGGGACTGCCTGAGACACTGGAGTCTCATCGATGATGTCGTAAGAGAAGTAGCGTCAGTTAGCAGGGGCTGTCAGCAGTGACGTGCCGAGAGATCTAGAGGTGTTTTACTCTCCTGGTGCTACGTGAGGGACAAATTCACCACGGGTGCCGGTGTCCCGTGGGTTCTGGTTTAGCAGCGAGGCTTCAGGCTGCAGGGAAGACACCAGAGATCCACAGCATCCCGACCTGCAGAGTCAGGAGGGAGGAAGGGAAGGGACTTACGAAGAAGGGGGAACGTCCCAGAAGAATAAGAAGCTTCAGGAAGGCAGGCTTTGCCCGTAGACCTCCGCGCCCAACTCGGAAGCCTCACGAGCCCCCCTGCTCCTTGACTGCCGTTTCCACGGCCCTGGTTGAGGCCCCCTCCATGCCCCACAGGGGTGTTCCCGACCATCCCCCTCCCCTGCAGCCTCCCTCCATCCCACGATGTCTGCACTTTTCGTTAGCGGTACTGCGTCCATCTTTCCGAGGCCCTTTTTCTGCTGCTGCTGCTGCTGCTGGTCCCCACAGGCATAGGTGTCGGCGGTCAGTTGGCTCACACTTTCATGAGTCAGGAATTTGGCACGGGCTCCCCGGGTTTGGTGCTCCATCCGAGAAGACGAGACGTTGGTGCAGGGCTTCCCGGGGAACCAGGGAGAGGTGCTGCCCTTTCTGACCTGACTTCCAGAGTCACACATCCTCACTTCCACCATGTTGTCTGGGTGAAGGCCGCTCACCAAAGCGTGTCCCAGGTCGGGAGGGCACGCAGGCCTCAGCTCTCCACAACGGGGGTGTTGAGAGTTGGCCGATACGGTTTATAACTCCTCTGCATGTTAACTACCTCCCAGTCTCCCGTTAGCTTCACTGCTCTCTGCTTACCTGATTATACTGAGTAACTGAGACCCACCACCTCAGTTGAAAATGTAAGATCTGTAACAATTTTACCAATATAGATCTCCTAGGAAGCAATTGTTATGTTCATAATAGTTTACAAATGTATTTTTCAGGCGGTTACTGTAAAATCTTTAAAAGCAGTAGGACATTTTCCTCTCAGGTGCTGAGCTGTGAGAAGAGCATCAGGGTTTGGCCCCTCCTGCCTTTGCCAGAAGAGGCCGCCCGGTGAGTTCTGTCCTGGGGTCATGCAGACCTCACAGTCCCCAGTGGACACAGCCTCGGCCTGGGGTCTCGGCCATGCTTTGGGAAGACCAAGTACAGGGGGCTTGCTAGGCCTCATGGGCGGGGCAGGGGATGCAGGGGGGGCAGTGTCCCTGCTGAGGGCCCCGCTGGGTGGTGGGCTATTTGGGGAGAGCAGACACACAGGAAAAGGGGGCGGGCTCTGTGGGGGGGAGGAAGGTGTCCACTCGGAACATTTAGTGGGTGATCAGACGCAGTATCTGAAGGTCGGGAGAGAAGTGGGGATAGAGACTTTGGAATCGGGATATGGCAGGTCCGTCGTAGCAGTAACTTGGATAGCTTGTTGCTTCTCTTTCGTCAACAACGTGTGTTGCCTTCAGGGTATCGAATTGTTTACATTTACCGCCGTCTCTGACAGTGGCTTTTTCATTTTGTTTTTGGGAGAACTAGTAGCAGATTAAGTGAACCGTTAAGTAGTGCGCACGGGCACTGACTGGGCGTCCTCATCATCGTCTTGTCTCTGCCTCTTCTGTTTTTCAGATCAGTGGCTACTTCTGAAACACATGCCTGTGAGGCTTTCGTCACAGAAATCCTGCGAGAGCTGCTCCGCCATCTGCCCGAGCGCGACGGCCTTGTCAGTGGCTGGGATGGTCTCCCCGCTGGGAGGTGAGTCTCCGCGGATTGCCCAGAGTAGCCAGAGTGCTGACCGGCCACCTTGGGGTCCACGCTCCGCTGTGTGCGGTGTCGTGATGTTTGCGAGCTGGCGGCAGCGTTTGACCCTGCTGTGGTCGCGCCGCCGGAGACCGGGGAGCCCAGCCTCCATGCTCAGGAGGTCAGAGCCCGATGATGCTCTCCTACACGCTCTGCCCCCCGCAGCAAAGCGCACGTGCGTGTGCGTGTGTGTGACGTCCGCAGGCCTGAGCACCGTGTGGAGCTGGCTGCTGCTCCCCAGAAGCTGACCGTCAGGGGGCTCGGGAGCTGAACCCCCGCTGAGAACACACTCTAATCCCCAGGTGGCCTGAGGCGATCCAGGAACTCTGCGGCACCCCCATCTGGACTCTCTTCTGTCCCAGAACCGTCCTGGAAGTGGTCACCGTGCTCCGAAGCATCGGGGCCCGCTGCGCCTGCGTGTCCCGCCAGGTCGCTGCCTCGGCGGAGCTGAGACACCAGCAGTGGGTGGAAAGGAGGCTGCGCTCTCGGCAGAGGCAGACCTACCTGCACATGGTGAGCAGGTGTGTGGCTTGCTGCGCTGGTTGGAGACGCCCGCTGGGCTGGGCTTCTGTCGGGACGAGGCTCTGACTCGTATTTGTGGAGGACGCTACAGCAGATGGTGTTTCAAACCCTGTCGTGATTGTGGCGTTAGAGGGTGTGGGTGCTGCTGGCCCGAGTGAGCCCCTGGGTCTGACGTGCCAACAGCAGGTTACCTTGGGTGTGACTCTTCGGCCTCCTTACCTGGTGTGTGTGTCAGGGTGTTCTCCATCCTTAAGAAGTTACCATTTTGGACAAATTCCTGGAGCTCTGGGTTAAGTGGCATCTCTGTCTATGAAGCTTTTAATGGGTTTCGCTTGGCCGCTTCTGAAAGCACGCTCTTACCAGCAGGTTCGACGATGATGCCCGTTAGGTTACATCCTTCCCGAGATGGTGTATTTCAAAACAATCTCCACGGGCTTCATGAGCGAGATAGTATCTTATTTTGATTGGAATGTCTCTGTGTCCTGGAGACACTGAACACATTTCCGCGTTTGAACCATTTGTGTGTTTCTTCCTGTGAGAGCCCTTGACCAAGTACGAGACTGTAGGGGAGACACAGGCAGAGACCCAGACCCAGAGGGAGCGCTGGACGCGGGGCCGGCGGCCTCCTGCCCCCGAGCAGCAGCTGCTGGGAGGCTGGGCGGCAGCTGGAGGGCGCTCCTGGGGGTGGGGGGCCCCTGGGGGAAATCACCCAGCAGCGGCCTTCTCTTGAGAAGTCTACGTTTAAGTTCCCTTGAGAAACAGTTTTCACTGGTGAAAGTGCAAAATACTTAGGTTTGTCAAATTCCAACTTTCTTCCTCTTTTTTAGTGTTAAGCTTCTGTCCCCTGTGCTTCAGTTGATTTTATTGCTGATTGCCCTGGAGCTGGTCAACATTCACATGGTTGGTGGAAAAAGTCCCTGTGAATATCAACAGTATCTAAAGTAAGTGTGTTGTACGCATAAGAAACGAAGCCGTTTTAGTAAATGTAAGGGATTTTCACTTATGTTGGTTGTTTTATTTTTTTAAACCCACGTCACGGTTGGCTCTTTACTGCTTTTCTCTGGATTTGGTGCAACCTTGTGAGCCTTTAAAACAAGCACCGTGTGGGCTCGTTGCAGAGCAGCATGTGGGACGCTTGCCGAGGCTCCACATTCCTCACTCTCGGTCACACCGCCGCCCGGGCCGGCTCTGCTGCTGCGACCTTTAGACACAGGTCGTCCTCGTGTCTGAAGTGAGTGTGAAAGGACTGGTGTGTTCTTACAGAGATGTGGACCCAGGTGGGAACCAGGCGTCCGCCATGCAGAGTGTTACGGATCGGTGACCCCGGATGACCCCCGCCCCCCCTTGGCCCTGTTGAGAGTGCGGGGGTGGGGGGGGGGTGGTCTGAGGTGGGCCGTCCGGGCTCACGCGGTGGGAGCAGCGCCCCGGCCACTGGCACCGCGTGCCCGAAGCTCCGCACAGTGACCGCCTGTGACGCAGACCTTGAGGGATACAAAGTCCTCCGCAGCTGAGGACCACTCTCTAGAGGAAGGATCTGTGGACTTCCTTTATGCTGCTCCTTTAACGTCGAGCTTGAAAACATTCAGAAGTAGAGGTTGGGGAACGTTCTAGCCTACTTGGCAGATGGGGGAGAACATGGAAAATAGGAGCAGGCCGTGGTGCTCGCCTGTCGGAGAAAAGCCCAGGAACCGTGTGACACACCCCTCAGGAACGCTGTGTCCGAGTGAAAGGTGTCTCCCGCGAGGCAGGGCACCAGCATTGTGAGGGCAGGCGTGGGAGTCCTGGGGCCAGAGCGCGGCACCCCCGTGGGGGCGCAGGGCCTGCACGCTCCCGTGTGTGCGTCGTGTGCTCACGTGGCATTTAACCCAGGTGGTCTCTGACGCCTTTTCTGGAGCTTGGTTCTGTCACGTGCAGCCGTCGTACCTGGTGTGAGAGTTGGACGAGGGGTCGGGCGCGGGGCTCGTCAGGGGTCCAGCTGCGTCTCCAGGGCTGCTGCGAGTCAGCGTCTCTTCCTCCGGCTTCTGTTCTCACGTCCGTTTCACATGTGGTTCTTTGTCTTGAATTTACAGGCAAAAATTAAGTAGAGTACTTCAGTTTTAATTCCAGAAAGAAACGAAAAGTGCACTTAAATCATTGTTGCATTTTATGATAAAATAAAGAAATCCATTTTTTTCCATTGAAACAGGTTCTTGAAGTCAGTCTTGCAGTACACGGAGAAGCTGGTGGCGCACACCAGCCAGCAGAGGAACAAGTGGAGCGAAGCTATCAGTCTTACTCGTGCCGCTCTACTGAAGATGTGGAGTTTTACTGAGAAGAAGCAAATGTTGATACACTTAGCCAAGAAATCTGCAAGTAAAGGAGACCTATGAAAACACTTAGAAGTCAAGATGTTTTTGGCTGCGTCTGAGAACCGAGCCTGAGTTGGCTTTACCAGCACAGAGATGGAAAAGCCGTAGGTAGGGTGGGTGGCAGGCTCTGTTTGATCAGGGATAAGTTTCATTTTTCTGCAGCTTCTGAATGGCTGTTCCTGCCTTTGTGTGAAACCTAGGCTGTACCATTTTGGTCCCCACACCACGACGCAGTGTCCAGGAGGAGCTTTTTACCCACGTGTCACCCAGAAAACTCTTGAAAACGGTCCGTGTGGCCAGGACCCTGTCCCCTGTGCTCACTGGCCGGGCTGGGTCGGCTCCACTCCTGAGACCCCACTGGGGCACAGAGGAGGAGTGTGGGCCAGTCCAGCCTCATCCTTGGAGCTGAGAGAGTGAGGTGGGGTGCTCCAGATCCTAGGGGACAGAGCTGGGGAAGGAGGCGGGCTGGGTGCACGTGGCCACCAGGTGCAGGTTTGTCTGCCCCTGTGTGGCCGAGAGAGCGGGAGCCCTGGCACGTGTCTGGGTAGGGAGCGGGGAGAGCTGGAGTGAGGGGAGTGGGTGCAGTTAGCCCAGGGCTGCTTGGAGAGCTGAAGGCTGTGGTTCTCAAGGGCTCTGGACACTGCAGTTGTCCGGAGCATCTGTCTCTGGTGACAGGAGCAAAGCCAGTAGCTCTCGGGCCCGCTGTGAGGCTGTCCCTGACCGCAGGTCTGCATCTGCACTCAGCTGCACACCGCGAATCGTGGCCTCTTCTCCAAGGCCCAGACCTCTCGGGCAGGTTCTAGCCCAAGGAACAGTGTCTACCCTGTGTGTTTCTGGATTCTCTGGTGTCGGAGGGCAGTGCTGAAGAGACCTCAAAGGGAAGGGGTGGTGCTGGGGGACAGCATACATTCTGGAGCATTCCATCCATCCCTTTGCCAATTCAGCACCCACCACCCCTTTTAAACTAAACTCCAGGTAAGGACAGAGAGAACCAAGCTTTTGCCCCTGCCTTCTGCTGCAGGTGTAGACCCCACATCCCACGTTGTGCAAGCGTCTGCCCCTGGGACGCAGCCTTCTCTGCTGCAGGTGTAGATCCCGGATCTACAAGCTTCTGCTCTTGGGGCATGTTGTTTTGCAAGGGTCACGCTGTTCCTTAGACAGACTCTAGTTTAAAGGAAAAGTTATGGGATTAGCCTAAACTCTAAACTCTCCTGCCGTTGGAGCCGCGATGGGAAATGATGGTGTGGAGGTGCCACCCAGCATGTCAGGAGCGGCCGGAGCGCCAGTGTGTCTCGCGTCCGCATCTGGCGCGCTGCCGATGTTGCTATTAGAAATCCCGTTTCTGCAGCTCATCCCGTGCTCCTCTGCCCTCAGCTGCTTGCTTCTGGTGGTGGCGTCCTCACCTTCTGGGTTGACGCAGACTCCGTTCCTGAGAGGTGCCCTCCAAGAAGCCTTCCTGTGAGGGCAACTCGTCTTCCACTGGCTCTGATAGTGCGAAATGGGAATTCTGAGAGGCTTCCCAGAGGATCTTCTGAATTCCAGACACACTGCTGCCTGCCCCCGTCTGGCAGCCGGCTTGTCCCCAAGGGAGTGGGGAGCAGTGACCCAAGCTTGTCAGAGTCGGCCGGCTTTGCTTCTGGTTCGTTGGCACGAGGTGTCCCGTGCAGCCAGATGGCCTCTCAGCTGCAGGCCCCTGGGACACCTGTGTCCGTCTGTGGAGCAGACCTTCCTCTGGAACAGATATGCCCAGATACTCACACCGGCAGGGCCCCAGATTCTGAGACGCACTAGTGGCGGGCGTAGTGGGAGGGACCGTCCCCGCGTCACGTGCTTCCCGCAGCTGTGTGTTGTGGGGAAGACCGTGGTGTGAGGCATCGCCGGCAATTCAGGGCACAGGGCTCCGCCGCACGCCGGCATCTCCGTCGGAGCCCCTGCCGTGCTGTCCGGCCGCTGCCCGGGGGTGCAGAGCCTGTGCTGAGGTGGGGAGCCCACGGACCTCATGCCAGGCTTCCGTGGGAGAGGGACCTCTCGGAAGCGGCGCTGTCAGAACCACAGCAGGGAGTCGGGCTTTCTGCGAGGCACTGCCAGGCAGGGAAAGGTCACGGACGTCCACAGAGGGTCATGGTGTCCCTGAATGCCCGGGGAGAGCTCCCACACGGCAGAGGACACCTGTGTGTTGCTCCGTTCAGGAGCTCTAGCTGCTTCCCGTCCCTCGGCCCTTGTCCACAACGAGCGCCCACCTGCCACTGAATCCGCTCCTGTTCCTTGCGAGATCCTGTCCGTCACCGCCTGCTTTCCTGGAGGCCCATCCCCAGGGCCGTTGCGTGCGCCAGGTCACGCAGACACTGACACGCAGTGCTTGACCTGTGGTCCCCTCCCATGCTGCTCTCTGGATCAGCCCTGAGGCTCTTGTGCTACGGCCTTCACCTTCCGGTGCTACCAGCGTCGTTCTTCAGAAATGAGACAGGCCTTTTTCCAGTGGGGCTCCTGGCTGGCTTTTGTGGTTGTGTCGATGCGGGGCTTCGGCTCAGGGTGTGACGTCAGGATTGTGAGATCGAGCCCCGCGTCGGGCTCTGTGCTCTGTGCTCCATGTGGCGCCTGCTTGAGATTCTCTTTCCCTCGTCTCTAAAATAACATCTTGAAGAGCGAACCCCCTTTTACACTGGCAGCAACTCAGAGGAAACTCCAGAGGGCCGTGGGCACCTGACTCCGGGCATCGTTGCCGTAGCAGCAGACCTGCCGCGGGGTTTGAGCCCTGCTGGGCCTTCAGGACACGCTCGAGCCCAGGCTCGTGTGTACATCACTTCGGTTTAATGACCGCGTGCTCGTGCGACTGTCCAGCCTGAGGCCACGAGGGGTCAGAATGCGCATGACAAGCTCCAGTCATGGAACAGGTGTCCCTGGTGATACGCGGCGTCTGAGTCTGTCCCAGCATCTAGAAGGCAGCCCAGAGCTCGGCGGGGAGGACAGTCCCATGCAGGAGAAGCCTCACGGTTCTGTCCCCCGGTGCCGGGGCCCGCTGGAGGCCTGTGTCAGTACTGCGGACTGAGGGCCAGGGCACGGTCTCATCCAGGACCTCACGTAGAACCGGCGTCTCGTGGGTCAGTTGGTACACGTCTGTGCGCGCCCACGTCTGGTACATGTTGCTTCCAGAAGCCGGGGGTCTCACTGGTGTATTTCCTCGTGGCTGTGGTTGTGAATATCCCCGATCGCTGGATCCCTGGACCCTTCAAGACTGATCCTCTCCCTGCCCCCACCCCCGGCGTCCCTGTATTTTGTCCCGGCGTCCAGGGCACGTTTCCCGTCCACACACGCCATCGGTGGCTGAGCTGTTGGCACGTCCCGCAGGATGGGACTGTCAGGGGCTGCGGGTCCTCCAGCATACTCGCGCCCCGGCGAGGTGACCCAGCCCTTCCACATGACCCCGGGGCACACACTGCTTGTGGTGGGTCCTGCAGCTGGTGGACGAGAATGTGTGCCGGAGCGGTCCGTGCAGCCGTCTGCCCGTGAAGCAACCACATCTGGGGCAGCGTCTGCCACTGGGTTCTGATCTGATTCGATGTGTCACTGCCCGTGGCTGCCCACCACGCCCACCTGCCTTTCTCCTCAGTCCATTGGGCGCAGGTCCTACGTCTCACGTCTGGGATTCCCACTAAAACTACTGCTTTTGGGTTTTTACCATCTCGGAGGAAAGAAGTCAGTCTGTAGGTCTCCACTCTGCCCTCACCACTGTATTAGACCTTGTTTGAGGCTCAGGGGACCCAGCCAGCCCCCTAGGAAAGAGGTTCTGGGTCTGTGAGCTGGCTGGTCCTGGGAATTTGGGGGAGGGATGTGGTTGTGTAGTGACATCTCTGTCGACCAGCCATGGGGACTGTTGGCTTACTCAGCCGTGGGCGACGTCGTCAGTGGCTGCCCACATATTCCCGTCCGCAGGGCTCCCCGATGAGCCGGCTGCTACCGGTCACTAGGGGCTGGTCCTGCTGCGCACTCCGACCCTGCTGTGCACCCCGACCCTGCAGCCTGTCGACGGGCATCTTCCCAGGACCCGACACCAGGTCCCGTCCTTGCCAGTGAGACTGGGTAACTAGTGTAGATGGTGGCAGTTCCCTGTGTCACCCTTGCTGGTAGGGAACGACAGTCACCACAGACCGGCCAGGTTCACTGGGGTCCCCTTACCGGTGTATTTTCTCTGTGGCTGGACGCTGCTTGTAGACATTGGGCACCAAGTAAGCCACTCGTTAAAAACCCAACTAAAGTAGGGGCACCTGGTGGCTCAAGTTGGCTGAGCGTCTGCCTTTAGCTCAGGTCATCATCCCGGGGTCCTGGGATCGAGCCCCACGTCTGGGGCAGCGGATGCGGGGGGAGGTGCTCCTTGCTCAGCAGGGAGTCTGCTTCTCCCTCTGCCTGCTGCTCCCCCTGCTCATGTGCGCTCGCTCAAATAAAATTGTAAATAACAACGAAACTCAGATACTCGTACCTTCCAGAGCTTTTGGTTCTCTTCCTCTGAGGTGCCCAGGAAGCCCGGCCGGGGCAGTGCACGTGCCCTGTGGCCGTCGGGGGGTCTGGGGTCAGAACGTTTGACCTGAGCCAGTACCGTGTCAACTGCGCTGTGCAGCCCCGGAGCAGGGTCGGTCCTCCCCAGGATTCTGCCGTGTGATTCTGAGAAAGTTAGCAGGTGTTTTCTTGGGTGAGACTGTGCTCCTGACTCCGCGCCTGCAGGGCTGACCCCGTTCCCGAGCTGGAAGCAGGAAGAGGCGGGGGTGTTGCGTCTCGTGTTCCTGGCCGCCGCTGAGTGCTGCGTCCATGACTCCCCACGGGAGTGGCTTCGGGCAGTGCAGGGGGACATCCCTTTGGCCAGGGCGGGGGACTCTCTGGGACTCAGGGTTAGGGGTCAGCAGAGCCCACCCCGGACGCCCGTGCTGGCTCCCAGGCCTGCTCTGCTGTGTCTTGGCAGAGACGGCAGGTGAGTTTGCCAGACCCCCGCCAGTCCCCTGGTGCTCTGCGCACACCAGAGCTGCCCCTGGATGGCAGGCATCCTTCACGTCCACAGGATGTCTCCCCCAGCCCGCCTCCCCTCCCTGGCTGGTGTCTGGACGCTGGCCATGGGCCTGTCCACTCCTCAGGGGCCGGGCTCTGGGCAGACCGCCTGGAAGACACATTCCCAGATGTTACCTGGGAAGCAGCAGGAGGAGGTCAATTTCTCCGAGCCGACCCGGCAGAATGAGACCTGGGTATCAGGTCCTTTCCCGCGCTGTGGGTTTGGACCTGTGTATGGCCTCTGTTAGGCACCAAAAGCAGAGCCCTCCTTCCTGTTCACCGAGTTCGAGTTCACGGCACTAACACTGACCACGCTGATGGGTGAGTTGGCCATTAGAAATACTGTTCACAAAACCGGACAGCTCAGGCTTGCAGGAGCCGTCGACCGTGTCCCTGTGCGGAGAGGCTGGAAGCCCTCGGGCCGGGAGCAAGCACACAGTCGCCCAGAAGTGCTTGGGAGCGGCCGGCCGCAGACAGGCAGCCGCAGCAGGACCAGCAGAGACCAGCGAGGCGGGTGATTGCTGAAGTGGATCCGTGCGCCCACGCAGCACACGTCCCGCTAGGGGAGGTCTGCGGTGCTCCACACCCGTGGTATTTACCATGGTCTGGGAGAAGAGAATTTCAACAGATCATGCACACTGGATACAAAACCAGAGTCGTTGAGGCACGCCGGGTCAGGGTGGCCTGGAGGTGGCATGCCCCCGAGCCGGCCCTCCCCGTGCGGATCCCTGGGGGGCTGCCGAGCACGAGGCTGACTGTGGGGCCACTTTCTGTGGAAGGGCCAGAGGTGGGCCTGTACTGCGCAGAGAAGGAAGCCATTCGCCTCTGATTCTTGGTTCTCACTCCCGGAAAACATCCGGTGTTCATCGCCGGGCTCCTTGCTGGCTGTGTCCCCCGTAGGGCCTTGACCCTGTGCTTCCCTAGTGCTCCTCAAATCCCCGTTTTCTCCCACTTGTCTGGCTTTTCCTGGCTCTCTCCAAAGCTGTCCAAGGGGATTCAGACTCTCAATTACACCAAGTACTTAATTTTCCTCGTTCTTACCTCCCATTAAGGAATTCCAGGGAGAAATCTTACTT